AGAGAACAGAATGAAATCATCGATCTCACCACCCTGTGTTTTATTGTGGTGGCTCTTGTCCACAGGAATCTTCTCCACACCTCCAGTACACGTAGAGTGTTGATTCACAGGCTCCTGAATAAGGAGTGTTGAGGCGAAGAAGAACCTCTCAGTGGATGGATCATCATCCTCTCTCTTCGCAGTAAGAGTGGCACTGTATACATTTCCAGACGAGAACGAACATCTCCGACTCCCTCAGGACCCCCCAAACTCAACATTTCTCCAGTATGTAATCCCATATAGGTGGTAGTTGGTACCATATCTCACACTGGAACTCTATCTCTGCTGTGGACATTCATGGTAACTGCTGGGGGTCTGGTTTAGTAGTCCTCTCCAGAGAAATCTCCTGTGCTGCTACAGTGGGGATTTGTCCTGTGTTGGCTAAGGCTCAGCTACTACACACCGTCCATTACACAGGCACTATGTGCATACACTGGGGTCACACAAAACAACTGAATTAAAAGTCTCAAACAAAACCTTTGGAATGATAAACACATAAAGCGAGGGACTATTGTTCTATCTCTGCTGAGATCATTCGCTGTCCTGCCCCACCTGTGATAAATCCTTTTAGTGAGGAAACGAAAGGTGAGGGAGCGTGTGAAGGTGTCCCAGGGGTTAATTATAGGAGAAGATATGTTAGAGAGCCATTTTCTGTTTCTTTTACAGTATGAACAGAGTGAACTAGTTAGTCACTCCAGTCACCAGGGTACTGATGAGATTATTGCCCACCTACATCAGACACCCAGGACTTTTTCCATTGATGTAATCATTGTTGATTCACTGCACTGGACGACATGCTTATGATTACTCAATGTTCCATGTGTTAGGTTGTCTTGGTAAATTCCCTTTACTCAGATTCATGGTACGTAACTGGGAACTATAATAAACAACCGCCCATCAGTCTAGCGCAGTTTCTGCAGTTATCTACAGTGTTTTGTCCAAATCATGTGGATCTTTGTAGTGACTTTGTTGATGGCAACTGAAACGGTATGGACAATGTATAGAGAACTGAGTTTATCTGGCAGTTATACTTCCCTCCACTTATGTAGGTTGCAAATAATGTGACATTTGAGAGTCTGACAAGTATTGCAAATGAAATCACCCAGTTGCCAGCCATTTATCGCTGTAAGAATGATACAGAAATTGCATATGGCCACCATGGAGAGTGCCTCCTCCAAACCCAACTGAGAATCATCTTCAGGATGGGAATGGTTACAATTGTGCACTTTTAATCACGGATGGAAAATACCCTGCTCTATCGTTTGGGTACAACACGGAATATGGTTCCATAATCTATTGCTCAAGCTATGGCGAGAGAACAGGGAATCAGATGTAGCACAAACGACACAAAAACGATTCACAATCTAACGCAAGTGCAAGTGGAGGAATCTGTAAGGCTCACAAGAACCGTTTATTATACGTTTCTGTTCATTACTATAGTCTACAAGTGGAAAAATCATTTCTTCAAAATGAAAGGGGGATATAGGGATGGTTTGAAGCACCAAAAAGGAAGAAACAAGGGGTTATTACACAGCAAAGATGCACAAAGCTACATGACACCATCCCTATATCTTTGTCTGATATTAAACTTTACTTCAAGGTAAACTGTTGCAGAGTGGAAATGACGGAGACGTCAAGCGCGGCTCTTTCCCAATTAGGGAGGAAAATGTCAGCAGGGCGAGATTGGTTGTGAACAATAACACAAAGATATAGGGATGGTGTCATGTAGCTTTGTGCATCTTTGCTGTGTAATAACCCCTTGTTTCTTCCTTTTTGGTGCTTCAAACCATCCCTATATCCCCCTTTCATTTTGAAGAAATGATTTTTCCACTTGTTTCCACTATTTTTCACGCCTTATGACAACACTGCATTTTCAGTCACTCTGATGTTCATGGGTGTTGTAGAGATAACTGTTGAAAGCAGAAGTTAATGGGCTGCTCCTACCTGAAGCAGGGTGTATGCGTAGTGTCTCCAACAAGGATGCAATTAGATTGTGGCACATATGGTGGGGTGGTTTCATAGGCAGGCTTCAGTAATCAGACTACAATGATAGCTATAACCTGGGGGACAAAGAATGAAGGCGCTGTGCAAGGCCCGCGTAACACGGCGCACACTGCCAAGTTGCTCCTCGTGCAAATCAACAGCTAAACGCAAGCTAGCCAGTTAAAATGTGTATACTGACTTACAGAAGGCACTGGAGGATAAGAATTCCTCTGCAGGCTAGGCATCCTGGCTTAGTCTCGTGCACCAGGTTCACGCACGAAATGCGCGCGCACCGCATTGGGGAAACGCCCTCCTCGGCGCATGCGGCTCACTGATGCTGAGTTAGCAGCAAATGGCGTTGTTCAGTGACTACCGTGGAAGAGCTCAATGATCTACCGTAGTGACTTGCGGCAAGAAACAAGCGATCGCTTGATATGCGTGCACACCTCCGGAAAATTTGGAGACGTTCTGTGAAAAAACCAACGCTTCAACTGCTTCCGGTAAGGAGCTAGCGGGTCTGAAGAAGAAGAAGATGAAGAATATGATGATGATGATGATGACACGAAAATCGCGAAATCGCGTAAGTGCGAATTCTCTGGTGGGGAACTGAGGGCACGTAGGAAGTCTTGGGGCATATGTATAGCTAGGTATTGGCCTCTAGACTATTGCTAGTGATTTTGAAGCCATGGTGAGTCATTCTCGCTGAGTTTTGAGGCGTTTTGTACGCGGATCACGTGAGATTTCACTCGTGTCATCCCTATATAGAGCGTCTACCGACGCTCTGATTTCTACTGTAGGTCATAGAGTGGTGATAGACAACATCACTTCAGCACTACACAATGAGTCACAAATAATAGTGAAGCAATGTAAGGATAACTGCTCCACTAACGCCATTATCTTAATTGTCCTCATAATTCATTGCTTGTTGGTACTTTTATTGCATGGAAGAAGCATGTTGGGTCTTATCAAGCACATTTAAAAGTGTTTTAAGAGTCCTTCAAGGAAACATGGGGTCGGTGGGACAATTATAGCTACTCCCCTTGTTGATCTGTTCCAGACTTCTGAATCCCCTTTTAAAGAACATGAGCAAAAGACTACCAAAAGGAGCTAAAAGAAACAGTAACCCGATTCTCAGTCAATGTGTGCAGTATTACGGGGTTTTGTCCCTATTTTTACATCAACAGAAAAATGTCACCTTATCTTTCCTCATTTTATGTAATTATTATTGGCAAATCCAACTTAGTCGTGACAACGGGCTTTATATAAGTGAGTGAATGAAGTGTTTAATAAGCAACAGAATTTGCATAAGAACTTCATGCTCGAAATACTGTACTGACTATACATGTAATGCGTGGTATTGATTCTCCAACAATTTTTCACTGGTGTTGTGTGTGTAAATGTAGGTAGCACTAAATTATATGTCACAAATTACCGTATGTACAATATACATTGCAATTTCCCGCACACCCCCTCAACATGCGGTTTAATAATTTTGCATTCCTTGCAAGTATGTGAGTGGAACAGTAGGTTGAGGTTTTAACTTCACTGCACATTCTGCACCCTATGCTAATTAAAACACTCTCTCTGTGTATCTTGAAGGCACAATAAGTCACAATAAGTCACAGCGAAGGTTGTGTATCGACTCCCGCATGCTATCTGCTACTGTAGCTGGCCCGTGTCATACTCTCAGCGAGCTACTATAGGAAGACCACGAGTAAACGCAGGGGAGGAGGAGGGTTTGCACTTTAGTGCTTTTTCATTGAGGAGGGGATTGACTTTATTGACTGTGAACACCCTGGAAAACCCTTGAGTCCACTCCCATACAATTGTAATAATAATATGTAGGTTCGCTATAATGTGCATAGCTATATTGAAAATGCATTATTGCCCTCTTTGAGTTTGCTGTGTGTTTTGGTTTTCTTACTCTACAGTGATACCAACAGCTAATACCACAAGTGCTAATAATGAGAGAAATGGTGCAATTCCACTCCCATACAATTGTACCTCCTTGGAATCTGTAGGTTCGCTGGAAGGTATATTGTCAATGCGTTAGCTATTGCCCTCTTTGAGGTTGCTGTGTGTTTTGGTTTTCTTACTCTACAGTGATACCAGCAGCTAATACTCATAACGAGAATAATGGTGCAATTTTTGCTGCCATTCCAGCAGGAGCAATAATCATAACTCTTGCAATCATAGCCACACTAGTATTTGTCTTAAAGATGAAGAGCCAATCCCATTTCTCAACCACTCACCTGGAAACTAGGTAATTTATTATTATTTTGGCTACATGATTTGATGCCCCAATTCCAAATCAGGTCCAGCTTGGAATCTTTGGACGACAGCACGCCACAGAACGTTAATAGAGGACCAAATCGCTATGATAATATGACTGAACAAACAAGTATGTTATTATT